AAACTAAAAAGAAGGTTAACTAAAATGATAATGCACTTACAAGATTAACTAAAATAAAAATAAACACTAAATCTTATTTTTGGTCTTTGATGAGGTCAAATTTGTAAATCAGTTTATTGAGACAAGGATGTCTACATAACCTGAAAATGTTTATATACGCATTAAAATATAAAGCTAACAGTGAAACTAAATATTTTCAATTAATAAAAATGAAACAGAATGACTCAATACGCTGTGGAAAGTAAACTTAATTGAAATAAAAATTAATACAAATAAAAGAAACATGTAACTCTGATGTTCAAAGCTATACTTGTAGTCACGTAACAGATCCATAAAAGAGAGGTTATAAACAAAGATGCAAAGCAGAAAAACCCGTTGGATTTACATTACATTTAAAACAGCAGGTCTACTGCAGGAGGCTTTAATAAACTTCTAATTTGGCCACATTTACAGGCTACACAACAAATGTAACTTTAAACTATCTGACGAACATATATCCTTAACTACAAGCATTCAAGTGGCTAAATTAATTCACCACATACTAGAAAAGTTGGAGTCACACTGCAGAATTTCTCACCCCATTTTTATTTATTTTTCGATTGTCTTGCCAGATCATGCATTAAAGCTACATGAGCTGACGGATGACTGTTTTTACTATAGCTCCAAAGACAAAGTGTAGGATCAGTGTCTTCAGTCATACTAGTGATCTTTATGACTGTATTAGCACTAAGCCTGAGCTTTGATATCTTTTTACTCGAGTAACTTAGTGCAGATGTTTATTTTAAGTTCCTTCAACCATAAAACCTATTTAAATAGTTTGGAAAGTGTATCGGTAACATTCAGATGATGGGGAACAAAGACCTTTTTAAACATACCTGAACCAGCAAATGAGGAGATTTCCATAACCTGTTTTCTCACATCCTTGTTGCTGTTTTTGAACCTCATCTAGCTTCTTTTCCAGGCAATAACCCAATTCCCCAATCTGCATCATTAGTACCTTTCCACTGAATTTCCAACCTTTTCACATAATCCTGAACAACAGCCACAATGGCAGTATTATTGCCCATCTTCAGTTTCACACCTGCGTGCTGTGGGTATCTCTGTTAGAAGAGGAGTGAGAAGGTGGCTGAAGTCAGCCTGGAACAAAAAAAAAAAATCAGCAAAATTCCAGGATTGGTGACTACTCAACTTCCAACATACTTTTCTCTGGCTCAAGGCTATTATTTAAAACCGCTCTGGATCAGAGCTTTTAGTTGAGGTTTGAGGTAGAGGTGCACACAAACCTGAGAATAGAAGTTCCAGATCCCACTATCAGGACTCCTTTCTTCCGTTCCTGCATTGCTTGGACAACTTAATGCAAAACCTTCTGGTTGGACGAATCAGTGTTCTTTGCAAATAGGTGGCAAGTGACCAGATCCATTAAGCCCAGATGTTAGATCTTCATAATGTTTCTTTATAATTCTGAAGTCTATAAAAGCCAAATGTTCATATGGAAGTGTAACATATCCATTCTTCATATAATGAAATAGCCCTAATAAGTTGTTAAAACCATGTTGTACTCCACAAATATTTCAGAAATCGTAAGAAAGCACCTGCAGAGATCTCCATCCTACCGTCTGGTCCATTTTAACCAATAGGCGCAGGTCTCATGCGACATCAAACCAATCAGATCCAGCAGACTGTTTCCGGAGGATCTAGGGTTATAAAAACCACCGTGTAGCAGGAGCTGGTCATTTATCTCTTACACAGGATTCATAAAAGCCTGTTTGTAGGAATTAACTAATTTCTCCTCGTTTTCCTCATTTCGGCTCTGAAACTTCTTGACTTCAGGAAACATGGTGAGTAAATTTTTTTTTCTCTTATTAAGTGTCGATTTAATCAAAAATCATTACTGAAATAGTCAATAATCAGGTGGCAGACCGTTAACTGAGATTAGCCGGAAGTATCAGCAGGATTTAGCAACACCAATTTCATTTTTAAAAGGATAAAATTCACACTGTTAACCAGACTACGCTGTCCTGACTGTATTTTTGGTGCGATATGACAGGACACATCCAAAATTCAAGTTATTTGCTTGTGTCCGTTTACGGCTTCTTGTGCGCGCACTGAGCCAGTTGTCAACAGGTCATCCTGCTTTCAGGCTGAAGCATTCCCATGACTAACAACTCTTTGAAGGATCCTGGCCTTTATGAACCTGCGACCGCAGACTACAAACAAACCAACTCACTTGAAGCTCAATTGTTCTTCTTCTTCTCATGTCTTTAATGTTTTTGTGCGTGTATGGGCTACTTTTTTGTAAAGAAGTCTTTCATTGTCTACAGCTGTGTTTGCTTTGCTGAACTCTGATGTGCACTTGTTTGTTCTCGATTGTCTTGTCCTGGCTCACATGCGACATATTTCTAAAGGGTTGTTAGTTCAGAGCGTAAAAGGCCTCAGGTGACCACATGAGTAGCGGACAGGCTATGTAAATTGGAGTAGCGATTTCGGACTATAGAAAGCGGCAAATAGCGGGCGGAATTTTTAAGATCCCACACATTCTGAACGTCCTGAATCTGTCGCCATCTCCTGTAGATTGCTCTGGCCACAGCGACCATAGCGCGCGGGTGCGCTCCCCAAATACGCAAAAAGTTGCGCACACGCTGCCATCTATCCGTCTCTCTCCCGTGATCGATGTGATCTCTTTCCAGTGTCTACCTGCTAATTTATGACGAAAATGTTTCTGATGTAAGAGGGTCTAAAGAAAGTTAAAGCTGAGACAAAACCAAAAACTGATGTCACTACTGAAGAGTGAGAGACCGGAGGATGTACTACAGACCATGTTCTCCAACCTTAGGCTTTAGGTTTTGTAGAACCAACTAAGTCAGAGTCGGAGATTATTATCAGACAGTGGTTATGAGATCCTTCTGCAGGGTCTGTGAGTGCTTACACAACAGGCAAGTTTGGTGCATCATTTGACTCTTCTGCACCAAAATGGATTAGTTGAGCAGCGACTTCTCAAATCAGATGCAAATGATAGAAAAAATAAAGCTGACATTCCTGAATACAGGCAAATTTCTGTGACTGGTCCTTTGTTGGTAGGATGTGGTTTAACAGGTTGCGTATATAAGGTGTTACTTCAGAAGAAAAATGACATCAGTGATGAATTCAACTTCCCTTAAACCAAAACTCTAAACATAACCTGACCTGACTTCCGCATAAGTTACCTTTGCGATGTAATTAGGTTAAGAGAGCTATGCAAGTGACAGTGAAAACTGACTTCAAGTTCAACTTGGCTCGCTAAAGCATTAACAGTGTTAAGAATTCTCTCAAGTGTGATTCATTTGTTGCAAGGGACAAATTACATAGCTGACTGATGGAACGATTAAATATTTTTAATGTTCTATACTAAAATTCCAGTATTGCTGAAATCACAGTCCTAAATCATGAAGCCATATTCCCCCAGGTAACTTTACGTTAGTTGAAGAGCAGGTCTAACAATGTAATTTTTGGATAATAAGTCAAAAATGAGGTCATCAAATAAATGGCTTTTCCATCTCATTTCCACAGCGTGAGTGTATCTCAGTGCACGTTGGTCAGGCTGGTGTCCAGATCGGCAATGCCTGCTGGGAGCTTTACTGCCTGGAACATGGGATCCAGCCGGACGGACAGATGCCCAGTGACAAGACCATTGGAGGAGGAGACGATTCGTTCAACACCTTCTTCAGTGAGACTTGTTCTGGAAAGCACGTCCCCAGAGCTGTTTTTGTGGACCTGGAGCCCACTGTCATCGGTAAGTGTCATCACCGCTCGCTGAACACTAATGTAGGAAAATTAAAACATCTTTAAAGCAAAACTAACGTAATGTTGTTTGCATAGATGAGGTGCGCAGTGGTACCTACCGCCAGCTGTTTCACCCTGAGCAGCTGATCACAGGCAAGGAGGATGCTGCCAATAACTACGCCCGTGGACATTATACCATCGGCAAAGAGATCATTGACCTGGTTCTGGACAGGATCCGCAAACTGGTGGGTGAATTCAAAGCAGCTAGTATAAAATGTATATACGAATTAAATTATTGAATGAAGTAACTCATGCCTGGTTGTCATCTCCTCTCTGTCCACAGGCTGATCAGTGCACTGGTCTTCAGGGCTTTCTGGTGTTCCACAGCTTCGGCGGTGGCACCGGCTCTGGTTTCACCTCCCTGCTGATGGAGCGTCTGTCTGTCGACTACGGCAAGAAGTCCAAGCTGGAGTTCTCCATCTACCCAGCTCCCCAGGTGTCAACTGCTGTGGTGGAGCCCTACAACTCCATCCTGACCACCCACACCACCCTAGAGCACTCTGACTGTGCCTTCATGGTAGATAACGAGGCCATCTACGATATCTGCCGTAGGAACCTCGATATCGAGCGTCCTACTTACACCAACCTGAACAGGCTGATTGGTCAGATTGTGTCCTCCATCACTGCTTCCCTCCGCTTTGATGGTGCCCTCAATGTTGATCTGACAGAGTTCCAGACCAACTTGGTGCCATACCCCCGTATCCCCTTCCCCCTGGCCACCTATGCTCCAGTCATCTCTGCAGAGAAGGCTTACCACGAGCAGCTCTCCGTGGCTGAGATCACAAATACTTGCTTTGAGCCAGCCAATCAGATGGTGAAATGTGACCCTCGCCATGGCAAGTACATGGCCTGCTGCCTTTTGTACCGTGGTGACGTGGTGCCCAAAGATGTCAATGCTGCCATTGCCGCCATCAAAACCAAGCGCACCATCCAGTTTGTGGACTGGTGCCCCACTGGTTTCAAGGTTGGCATCAACTACCAGCCCCCCACTGTGGTTCCTGGTGGAGATCTGGCCAAGGTCCAGAGGGCTGTGTGCATGCTGAGCAACACCACTGCTATTGCAGAGGCCTGGGCTCGGCTCGACCACAAGTTCGATCTGATGTACGCTAAGCGTGCCTTTGTTCACTGGTACGTGGGTGAGGGTATGGAGGAGGGAGAGTTCTCCGAGGCCAGAGAGGACATGGCAGCTCTGGAGAAGGATTATGAGGAGGTGGGCGCTGACAGCGTGGTAGACGACGATGAGGGAGAAGAGTATTAAGTGCTAGCATATTCCTTCTCTTAATCTCTACCATCTAGTTTCATAAAGTTTAATTGAACGCACCATTTGTGCTAATGAATTACAGGATAGTAGAATTTCTTTATAATTTTCAGATTCTTCAGTTTTAGCAAAAAACAAAATTCTGTCTTGGCTGGAATCAAATACTTTTATCCACTGTGTACTTTTAACATGACCTAATCTATCTTTACGGATGTTGCCAGCATGGGGACTCATACTCCTTTCTAGTCACTTGAGGGCAGTGATGCTCCACACATGCTGACTCAACACCATGTTGAAGTGCTTGACATTTCAAACTATTGCAGGTACTTTACCTGACCTGACCTGAGGCATTAGAATGGTGATATCACAATTAATAGTGTGACAATTCTCCTTTGATCATGGCTCAATTCACACCTCAGTTTTGGCTCAGATCTTGAGCTGGATTATTCAATCTACATTCTGTTCATGGTCTGGCATTAAATTATTTTTTAAATTTACCAAAACAGGTGTATTTATAGTTTTATAACAGAACATTGGGAAGAATACAGAAGTCTTTGGTACGAAAGGTGAGGACATCAGCAACCAGACAAAGAGAACCCACCAGAGAGGAGGAGAGGCTGTGTGTATGTGAGGGCACTTGCATTACATATAGCGTTATCTTAGTGGAAACCTATTCTGTTTGATTCATTTTCCATTTAATATCACAGAATAAAAGACTTGGTTTGAGTTTTATTTTTCACTTTCCAGTCCAGTGCTCTGTAATAAGGAACTATATGTGAAAGGAATAACAAAAAACAAAAGTCTTTATTGCTGGCAGAACCCCCTCTATTCTGATGTTTGTCCATTTTCTCCATACCTGAACAATTTCCAAATAGACAGTACAATGATCTATTGTCACTGTTTGATTTTTGGTGTAGATTTCAGGATTGTTACACCCATATTTACCATTCGGATGAGGTTTGACATGCCTGACTGAGAACCACCAAGGCCAAACGTTGCCTTGGTTTAAAATTGGGTGTGATATTCACTGTGGCGCAAGGCAGGGACAGAGGGCGTCTCATGCTGGCAGACAGGTGGTGTTTAAAAATACTTTCTTCTTCTGTTACTAGACTGGATTTCTTCAGGGTAATGAATGATGACGAGTACGTTCAAAATCTCAAAGCTAACAGTGGGAGCTGTTACAGATCATCAAAAATAAAAGATTCACAAGTGTAAAAGTTTTTAATTTGACTTCAGCTGTATTTCTGCTCTAAAACAGAAAAAATAAAGTGGCTTCCACATTTGCATTGACACTGGTATGAATCATTGAATGCATTGGTAGATTACAGGTAAACCACAATGGGGAATTTCTTAAACTGGTTTTTACTACTTTCAAAACAGTTTTATATGCTTGTAGACTTTTTCACTAGTGGTCTGTGTGTACATTTGCAAACTCAAAGGCAAAAAAAACAACAACAAAAAACTGCAGCTAAAACTCTGTTCCTTTTAAATCCTAACTGGGTTAAGAAAATAAAAGCTTTCTTCTCAATATAAGACATGGAGTTAAGAATCTTTCTATTTTCCTCCATCTCACAAACATGAGGTAATCTGACTCATTTGGGAAACAAATTTTAGGATTACAACTTCTGATTGTACTAATGAGCCCTCCCCCCAAAATCCTACAACAGAATATTTTGAATGCTGTAAAGATGTGCACTTCAAAAAAGGTACAAAAACACAGATGCATACAAAGTGTTCTCATGTGTACAAAAGCTGATCTTACAACAGGCCCTGAAAATAAAGCAGTGGACAGTTTTCTACACTGACACATAAAATAATGAACCCAACCCACTCCCTGCTGCAAGATAATTATGTAGATCCAGCAACCTTACAACAACATACAGTGACAGTTTCAAATTAGATAAACTCCAGCCATCATTTTCCTCTTGCAAAACTTGCACAACTCTGTATTAAAGCTGCCTGGGTGCTAAACAGCATTGCACGACACCACAGGAACCTACGCAGCAGCAGCGGCACTCATAAGCTTCTTATTTTCCCTTCTCTATTTGGTTTATCAGCTTCCCCAAAGCAAAGCAGCAGAATGACAGGAAATGCACATAAATCCCAGTGAAAACTGAAAACTTCACAGTGTAGTACACCACACTCTCAAAGATTTTGCAGAAACTCACAACGCTTTGAAAATGTTGCCAGTAAATAAACCCCTTTTTTTTTTTTTACAGTACCACTCGGAGAGCTTCTTGATGAGACTCAACACACGCGAGATCCCTACTCCTGACAGTAACAGTTATCACGCCCAAACCCTTCACACATCTGCTGTAGTTTTTGTGTCTAAACAATCAAGTTCAAGGCATTATAGAGAGAATATTCAGTCTGGCGATTAAAAACGTATCTAGGTGGGTTTGTCTTATGTGCCTGATTCACTCTTGTGAGATCCAGATAGTCTGAATGCCAATTAAGTGTTTATTTAAAAGCCATATTGCAAAAATGTTGACACGCTCATGACACACTGTGAAAAAGTTGAATTCTTGAGTGCCACCCTTCTTTCCTCAGCATCATCACCGGGACATAACCTACCATTCACCCACCAATTTTTTTTTTTTTCCTCTAAACAAATCTTTTTTAGATGCACTGAACAGTGCCAGCCCTTCAATGTCCTTCAGTTTCTCTAACCTCTTGAAAGAGAGGAGCTTCGCAGAGCCTCACGAAGTCATATCAACAAAAACCATCCTAGGAGCTGCAGCGGTCTGCGTGAGGCTTCTGTTCCTCCTCAGTGTTGTCTTTGATCTCTGGTCTTTACTGAGGAGGAGGAGGAAGCCCATCTCTCTCTGACACTGCCGTTAACCTGTAGCAAACTGATATTAGTGGATTCATGTTTATTTTTACTGTATCGCCTCTTCTGAGTACATTTTGATGTTGTGTTTATTACCTGAGGAGGTGGAAAATGTCTCATGACAAAATGTGAACGAAGAGAATGGCCAGGCCGATGTTGAGCAGGATTACCATGCAGATCATGATGGTGTTTGGGCCCTTAAAAAAGGAAAAGAACTCAATGCAGAATAAGGACAGCGGATCCAGTCAAAACTGGAGATGAGTGAAAAATTAAAGGAAAAACCTAAACCTTAGCTCCAACAGTAAAGGGACCCAGTGGTCCTGTTATGTAGAAGGGTACATTACGGTGTCCTGATGGGAGGAACGGTTTCCAGGAGTAAAATGCCTCCATGGATGTGCAAGTTAACTTAAAATTAATCCAAATTACTTTTCTTTTTGCCATAAGTCAAAAGCTAAGGAAATATGAGACAAAAATAAAACAACAAATTCAGAAAATTCATAAATTCATATCAATTAAAACCTTAGAACTAAGCCTAAGTTAATCACACAATTAAATACAAGGCCCAAAAGAGTGGTTTCGTGGATCAGCTTACCACATGAAAGGGGGACAATGAGTCATCAGAGAAATTAGTTTCTAAGTAGAGCTAAAAAAATAAAATACTCAAAGAAATATTGATAACTGAACCCTTGATAATGCTGATGATAATGATAATAAACACCAACATGTAACATAAATGCTACTTAAAATGCAAAATTCTTAGAAATGTTTGAGAAAATGTATCCTGATGTCTATGTTGGGGGGGGAGAAAGTAGAGCCCCTGCCTCTTCTTCTACTGTTATCACTTGGAAAAATCTTAAGCGACATATACAACATCAAATATAATGTCAGTTATTCATTATGATGATGCTACATGAACTTAAACTGTATAACACTGAGTGTACTGACTACAAATCAAAGCTGATTTCCTTAAAAAAAAAAAAAAAAGTTGTCAGAAGATTAAAAAAAACCCACTATAAAAATAGAATTTTATGGGAATTATTTCATGGTTCAGGCTTTACAGGATTAAGACTACATATTTATCCTGGAATAATATTGTGTGAGCTCAACCCAATACCGTGGTGAAAATTGCATGCTCTACCAAATCAGAGCTCCACTTTCAGTAATGCAGTCACCCCTTTTTGTACAATGGGACTCCATGAACATATGTGATGACATTTAAACCTGAGATAATTAGCTTCTGACACAAAATTGATAATGATACTTGGGATACTCATGAAGATTTTGACAGACTTTAGTTTCTTTCCCACAAAAAAGGAAAATGCTAACTAAATTCAGGGTCAAATGACAAACAGTGTTTGAGATCGCCCAGATAAAGGTCGTGGGTCAGCTTGTCTACTGGCTCTCCCCTACAGACATTAAATCTGAACCTAATGAAGCCCTGTGGGAGATTTTGAATTTACGTCATACATAGCACTCCCCACCACCATCAACACACCAAATGAGGCAAAATCCTCTGGATGAATGGTGTTTATAGTGTTCCAGCAGGCTGGAGAATCACAAAGACTCAGAGTGCTCTGAAACCTTTCTAATTGCATGTGATGGCCATAAACCTTATTAAGACACTTTGTTTGTTTTTCTTTAACCTTCCTAATCTGTGGCTGTTCATGTTGGGTTTTATCTTTTCAATGCAAAGAATTAATAAAGGATTATCAAAATTATTATTTATAGGAGATGGTTGTACCCAAAACATATCTTGTGAGCAAGTTCAAAATAAGACTGCAGGAGGAGCAAGACTGAAAAAGGGGTTTAACATCTAGAAAATTGTCCTACCAGCACCTTTAAAGATCAGAAATTAACACCCCTTATCCCTTTTGTGAGATTTACGGGTGCAGATGGGAGCAATCTGCTAGCTTTGGTTAGCTCTAGGCTAGCCATTTCTTCCTGTTTCCTGTCTTTATGCTAAGCTATAATCAGCCTCCCACATTCCAGCTTCATATTGGCAGGTACATTGTGTACACTGTCTTCTACTTCCCGAATACAAACCAATTTAAGCATATTTCAATAAAAGTTGCTTCAATCCTAGCTTATAACAAATATTTACAATGTAAAAGTGAGCATTTCTTTGTCATGCATGCTATTTCTAAGTGTATTTTTATTTATTTATTTATTCCCATCTAGCCAGCAGGGAAACTAAAAGAAAATTGTTTGGACATAACAGATAATTATCGTCCACTGAGATTAGTAAATGTCATCTTATTTGGTGGAGGTTAGTACTGGCTGATACAGATGTTTGGCTGATATATTTATAGCCATAATTATAACTTAATGCTGATGCTCAGGGTACATGCTTAGCTAAAACTTTAAAACCAATGTAACATTAATACCTGAAATTGGCAGGCAATATAAAGCAAATGCACATTTAAAATAGAGAAAAAGGAGACATAGCATTCATTTACAACTATTTCCCCCTCCAATAAACCAGAACAGTAGTCTGGCTTTGCCCTTATACGGTAAATAACGTGACTGGATATGGTGTACACTTTTATTTGACTATGATGGTGTCAAGCTGTGCTCTTTAGTTAGAAACTAGGACTTATGGTCATTAATGTCAGCAGTAATGCTAGTGTATATTTTTAAGGCTGCACTGAGCTAAATGCTTATACGAACATCGGTAAGAATTACTCTCTGGGGACACTGAATGTGTGTGGAAAATTTAACAGTAATCCATCTGATAGCTGTTGACCAAAGTCTTGGACTGACAGACTGACTCCACCATACATGTTGTGACAATATTGATGTAGCAAAAAATAATGAAGAGTGAGTCACTGTGTATATTTACTGTCTTACCTCCATGTCCAAAGACTCTGGGGTCACCTCGTTACTGAGGCTCGACAGGATGGGCTTGGGTCTGACTTCGGCTTTGGGTTCCACCTTCGCTGCCGGTCTGGCAACTACAGATTTTGCTTCCACTGGCTTTGGTGCCATTTTAGGTTCAAGACTCGGAGCAGGTTTTGGAGCTGGAGCTGGGCTGGGTTGCCGTTTTGGTAGCGGTTTTGTTTCTGCTTTACTGGGAGGCCTGCTCGGTTCCCTGGACTCCACTTTGTTCTCAAATACAGGCGTCACTCTTTCTTTTGTTGGTGGTGCTCTTTCGCTTTTTACCTCGGAGGCTTTAGACTCAGGAGTTACAGATTTGTAAGACGCTTTGGAAGGCGTTTTGGAGGGAGCTTTGGAGATGGGACGTGGTGCTTCTTCTTCTTCTTCTTCTTCATCTGGTGAGATGAGGCTATTCCTTACAGGGGCAGCAGGGGCTGTAGTGGCATCTGATGCTTTTGCCTCAGAGTCAAACTTCTGCAGTGGCTTGATCTCCATGTCAGAACCCTGCTCGTTCTTGTTGCTCTGGCGGCTCGGGGTACGAGATGGGCCACGACTGCTGGTGGCCCCTCCTCCTCCTTCAGA